GGGATTACTTTTTCTTCCAACAGTCCCAACTTATGAATTTCATTTTGGGTGGCCAACTTTTAGATGTTTTATTATTTTCTTATCATCCTAGAGGTAGCAGGAAAGTGGTCTTATCTACTCTCTTAGATTCTCTCATATTTTGCTTTTCCCATATGCTCTGAAAGTAATTCTGGATATGCTAATCATATGCAAAAAAAAAACCATCAGTATTGCACAACAAAAGTTTTGCCCTCAATATTACATGGTTCTGTTGTGGAAGTCTACTTTTTTCTGCAAACAACATCATAACGCAGTATAAAAACAACCACTGAACAATCAACTGGTAGCCTGATATAGTAAACATTTCCTGGGCTCGGGTGGGCGGGCTGGTGCAATGCATTGCAAAGACAGGGATGATGGATAAAGTGCAAAAGTTAGATGACAGAATTGGAACTAGAAGGGCAATATAAAGTAAAATACTATATCTATGGGCAGGGAACAGTAGTAAAGTGGAAGAACTAGACCTTGGGATTAAATCTAAGGGGCTTTTAAACCACCATTTTGTTTACAGAGTGTAATCTGAGTAGCATTCTAGATGTTAAAGATACAATATTTTAAAATAATTTTGTCCTCATTGAAGGCCGTTAGTTAACCCACACAATTTAACTAAAACTGAATTAATTCCCATTTTAACAAATTTGCTTGTATTCTGTTACTGAAGTATTTTGAGGCTGTTGTTGCTTCTGGCCTTATTCAAATAGTCTTGTTAAAGGAGGGACTTTACTTTTCTGATTAGTGTTTCAATGCTGAGGGATTAGTTCCTTATGAGTAGGTATGCATAAAATGTTAATATAAATGCCTAATTCTACTTAGATCGACTTAGATTGGCAATGTGAATTATTCATATTGAAGCACTGAATATTGCTCCATCATTTAGATTACATATTTAATATGCATTGAATGAAGGAGAAAGGTTGACTTTGAATTTTCCATATTGGAAGCAGCAGCAAGCAGATTCAGGATAATAACATTCAGCATTATAACCGTATTATAATTCCATATGAGAAGCTTAGGTTTTACAGTGGAGTGGGGGGCAGCTATTTTGGTCCCTTCAAGATAACATCTTTTTGCTGTCTTTTAATGGATTACAATGACCTGTTCTTCAAGGTGTCTCATGACTTTTCTGATTTATTTTCAGTGCTTGTTTCTGTTTGTTTTATTAATGACCAAGAAAGATGCTTTAGAGAATTCATATAGCACTGGTCCATCTTACATTGATCCAAGACCTTGGTGAGATGCCAGAAACTAAATTTAGAATGGATCTGAGCCAAAAACTTATTAAATCTAAGAAATCCATGTTGGAGCTTGTATTAGGAAGAAGTTGAGAAAAATCTGAACAATGCTGAAGCTGGGTCGTGGGATTGTTTTAAGTGGCGACTGCTCATCCTGATTTGCTCAAGTTCAGGAATTCATGAGATGGGCTGTACAAGAAAATGAACTTTCCCATGTACTGATCTTATTACTGTCCAAGCAAGATTGCTATGGATATATAGTATTATTGTGTGAGAATTCATATGTAAGTGGAAACTAACGTAATCTACTTTTTAAAGATGATTCCGGATGGAGTCATTTTAATCTCCCTGTTTGCCCTGTTCAACAGCTACAGCCCACTGTGACTGCATCACTCTTAACTGTTTCCAAATTAGCATGGCAGACTAGAGGCCAGTGTTTCTCAACTTGTGGGTCCCCAGATGTTTTGGCCTTCAACTCCCAGAAATCTGGTAAACTGGCAGGGATTTCTGGGAGTTGTAGACCAAAACACCTGGGGACCCACAGGTTGAGAACCACTGCTATAGGCTAACAGGATTGTTATTTGTGAGACAATCCAAACAGACTATACTAGATCCCTAACTTGCTAGTTCCTCTGTCTTCTGGTCAAGCTACTTTAGCTGTGGGAAAAGCAACACTCTGGCAGGCCTGCTGCATGTTTGGACTTTAAAGCATTAGGAAATATTGTTGGGTCAAGCTCTTTTATCTTTTCCCAGGGTCCACTGTGTTTGAACAACAGCATGAGTATTTATCATTCTATGCAGTGGAATATATATTCCTGTAATTCTGTAGAAGTCTCACATGTTATCCTAATTCTTATTTGGCTTGTTCTGAGTTCACACATTCTAGAGGGATGTGGGTTTCTCAGTAATTATAATACACAGTTGATTAGTTAATTATCTTGTTGCATTCACATGATTTATGCAAAGTGTTAGCTTTATGATCTTGTCCTTGGAGTATTAAACACTAAAATTCTTAGGTGAAACAATAAATCTTCATTAGATTCTGATTCAATGACTGTTGTTTTCAATGTGAGCCTGTATTTAAAGATAACTACAGTATTCCCTCACTTATCGCGGGTGTTCCGTTCCAGGACCACCCTCAATAAGTGAAATACCGCAAAGTAGGCACGCTCCCTCCCATCCCCCATCACTTCGCCTTCTCTTTCCTCTTTCCACTCCCTCCCTCCCTTCCTCGGGCGCCCATGCTACCCTTTCCTGGCAAGAGGGGCACTTTTGCCTGCGCGCTTTCCCTCCTGAGGCTGGGGGAGAAAGAAGAGGAGGAGGAAGATGATTATGCTGGGGAGGAAATGGAGGGAGCCACCAGAGCCACTGCCCCTGACCCCAGCAGGAGCAAAAAAAGTCTGGAGCAAAGAGCTGGCGAAGCTGCACTGGGTTGCCACCGGAGGAGACCTGACTGAAGTGTTGCAGTTCCTGCAGAAGCAGCATGAGCCGAGCGAGAGGGACAAGAGGAGGGAAAGTGGCAGAGGAAGGAATGTATATATGTATACCTAGAAACTCATTGTGATATAGGTCATTCTGAATGACAGTGTATATAGAAGTTTTCATCTATCACAGTGGTTCCCAAACTTTGGTCTTCCAGGTGTTTGGCACTTAAACTCTCAGAAGCTGCAACCAGTTTGCCCAACTGCCAGGAGTTCTGGGAACTATAGTCCAAAACACCCGGGGACCCAAGTTTGGGAATCAGTTATCTAGCAGATAGCAAGTGCCTATCAAAGGGCTGTTGATAGCAGATGGGGATGGCTGATAGTTTCACAGAACATGTTATTAATTGCTACATCCATCCAATATTAAACTGTCTCTTTATAATCTGTTTGCCATGTATTTTTATTATTGACATAGCACATGTCTAGCTTTGTCTAGCTTCAGAACATCCTACATTCCAGGGAGCTAGATAATACCCTAAATTCCAGTAGACTGCACACCCTTGTAAAAAGAAATATATATTGCTCTTCCGACCAGCACTCCAGTACTCTTGTCTGCCTCCAGGAAGAAAATATTCCATCTTAATGTTCTAATCCCACGATGACTTAAAAAAAACCTTTATTGGAAAGCAAAGCACTTTGATCTAGTGTGCTGTAAACATAATAAATGTGACTTAAAACAATTGTACTTTAAATTAAGTCCAAAAATGAATAGTTTCAGTCAGGCAAACTGATATGAGCTTTAATGACCATTTATGGCTTTACATTCAGAGATGTTAAAGACCAGCCGATTCTCAAGACCTATATGGAAATTACTATCCAGAAAGCTCAAGTTAGTTCATTGCCAAAAGTGAGCTAAATAAAAGCAGTTTTATAAATTCATCTGGTTGAAAGTTTGCTGTTCCTTTCACTTGGAAACAGATTCCAGAAAAGTACATGCAGAGTTGTAAAATGTGTTCTAGGCCTGAAAGATGTGGCTCTGGGAGGAATACCAAAAACTGACATGATTTCAAAGAGCAAAAAAAATAACTGATTTGATGTCTTTTAATAATATTCAGTTGGATTCTTGACTTTACTCTTTTAGGGCAATCATCTTTATCCTCATCTTAAGAAAAGAAAATACAAAGAGAAGTCTCAAAAAGTAGTTAATAAAGTTGTTAGTAACTGGTTTTTATTCATCCTTCTAGATTGAAATGGTTGCACTAAGATGATCAGGAGATGACTTTCCTATTTCAGAAGAGGACTGTCCAATTTCTGGGGGATTGTATAGTGCATGATGTGGTTGCTATTCTTTCAAATGATGAAAGGGCATTTAGACTTGTAAAGAAAACCAAACTGATCCCAAGTAACCCAAGTGATTGAAATGTTTCCATGGTGTACAATACAGTCCAACCCCCATATCTGCAGGGGATATTTTACTGAACTTACCATGGAAACAGGAAACTGTGGATAACAGCAAACTCTATTTACGTGAAAGACTTCTGCCAGAAATTACCATAGAGTAGCGCCTCTACGAATTTGTGAGGATGAGTCCATGGTAACATCTGGTGGAATCATCTAGAAGACCAAGAAAAATATATTTTTCCACATTTGGGTAGCGGCAAATGGAGGAGGTTGTATTGGAAATACAGGGTTTTTAAAGTTTAATGTTTTGAGGTCCCAGTAATTCCAATTAAAGACGTGGAATGTGAACTGGCACCACATTCAGTGTCAATACCCCATCCAGATAAGAAATGGGCATAGCCAATGCCAAAATCTTTTCAATTGCTTATTTTGAGAAGGGGGTACGGATGTCACTGGCAAACCATTTATATGTGTCTCACTTGAAACAAATATTCTGAATTAAGCTATTTTGTTTAGTTCCTGGTTAATTAATTTTGTTGAAACAAGAAGGCATAATAATGCATAGGGACATGGAAATCAACCAAACCCAAAGATCACAAATTATTTCAAATTATAGACCTTCCAGTCACTTCATTGAAAAAAATGCTACTTTCATTGTAGTCCTCTCTGCTAAACTGAGTAACAAAATCCTGTTGGCCCTTTGGAGACTCAACTCAGTTGCAGATGAGTTCACTGAGAATTATTGTAATTTAACGTAGATTTAAAATACAATTGCTTCATATGCTGAATTTTTTGTTTTAGATACTATCTTTTATTCGGCTAACTTTAATAATACCTGAAATAATCTTTTTGAAGTTAAACTTGAGAAATACTTACTTATCTCTCTTCTGATTTTTTTCTACAGGGTTTCGAAAAATAAGCCTTGATGATCTCCGAAAAGCCTATATCGTCAAAGATGTTCAGCAGTATATTCTTCATCGCTTAGATCAAGAGGAAGCTCTGAGGCAGCACCTCACAAAAGAAACTGCAGAAATGTTGAATCAGCTTCACATCAAGAGCAGTGGATGTTTCTTGTATCTTGAGCGTGTCCTAGATGGAGTTGTAGAAAACTTTATTATGCTAAGAGAAATCCGTGATATCCCTGGAACACTCAATGGTCTATATCTTTGGCTTTGTCAAAGACTTTTTGTGAGAAAGCAGTTTGCAAAAGTTCAGCCTATTCTGAATGTTATCCTTGCTGCTTGCAGACCACTGACAACAGTTGAATTGTTTCATGCAGTGTGGACCAAAAACATGGCATTATCGATGGAAGATTTCCAGCGCAAGCTAGACGTTCTTTCAAAAGTGCTTGTTGATGGCCTTGGAAACACAAAGATCCTTTTCCACTATAGTTTTGCTGAATGGCTGCTGGATGTAAAACACTGTACACAAAAATATCTCTGTAATGCAGCAGAAGGACACAGAATGCTAGCAATGAGTTACACCTGTCGAGCCAAGGATTTATCACCCCTGGAGGCTCAGGAATTTGCTTTGCATCTAATTGATTCAAATTTGCAACTGGAGACTGCTGAGTTGGCTTTGTGGATGATCTGGAATGGCACACCTGTCAAAGATTCTTTGTCAACATTGATCCCGAAAGAACAAGAAGTTTTACAGTTGCTTGTCAAAGCTGGTGCTCATGTCAACAGCGAGGATGATCGGACATCTTGCATTGTGAGGCAGGCTTTGGAAAGAGAAGATTCCATTCGAACCCTGTTGGATAATGGGGCCTCAGTAAACCAATGTGATTCAAGTGGGAGAACTCTGTTGGCTAATGCTGCATATAGTGGCAATCTTGATGTAGTAAATTTGCTCGTTTCTAGAGGTGCAGATTTAGAAATTGAAGATACACATGGTCAGACAGCACTTACTTTAGCTGCTCGACAGGGACACACCAAAGTTGTCAATTGTTTAATTGGTTGTGGTGCTAATATAAATCATACTGACCATGATGGCTGGACAGCACTGCGATCTGCAGCTTGGGGTGGACACACAGAAGTGGTTTCAGCACTCCTGTATGCTGGAGTCAAAGTGGACTGTGCAGATGCTGACAGTCGAACTGCCTTGAGAGCAGCAGCCTGGGGAGGACATGAAGATATTGTATTAAATCTTTTGCAACATGGGGCTGAGGTTAACAAAGCGGATAATGAAGGCAGAACTGCTTTAATTGCAGCAGCATATATGGGACATAAAGAGATTGTGGAGCATTTGCTGGACCATGGTGCTGAGGTAAACCATGAAGATGTAGATGGAAGGACTGCTCTCTCTGTCGCTGCTCTTTGTGTACCTGCTAGTAAAGGACATGCTTCAGTTGTGAGCCTTTTAATTGACCGGGGTGCAGAGGTGGACCATTGTGATAAAGATGGCATGACTCCACTGCTGGTGGCAGCCTATGAAGGACACGTAGATGTTGTTGACTTGCTTCTGGAAGGTGGAGCAGATGTTGATCATACTGACAACAATGGTCGCACTCCTCTCCTTGCTGCAGCTTCAATGGGCCATGCTTCAGTTGTAAATACTCTATTGTTTTGGGGGGCAGCTGTGGATAGCATTGACAGTGAAGGACGAACAGTTCTTAGCATTGCCTCTGCCCAAGGCAATGTTGAGGTTGTAAGAACTCTTCTGGATAGAGGGTTAGATGAAAATCATAGAGATGATGCAGGATGGACACCTTTGCACATGGCAGCTTTTGAAGGACATAGGTTAATATGTGAAGCACTTATAGAACAAGGTGCTCGAACAAATGAAATTGATAATGATGGACGCATAGCCTTCATATTGGCTGCCCAGGAAGGTCACTACGATTGTGTACAAACGTTGCTGGAAAATAAATCAAACATTGACCACAGAGGTTATGATGGGAGAAATGCCCTCCGTGTTGCTGCATTAGAGGGCCATAGAGACATAGTTGAACTCCTCTTCAGCCATGGGGCTGATGTGAACTACAAAGATGCTGATGGCCGACCAACCCTCTACATCTTGGCTTTAGAGAACCAGTTAACAATGGCTGAGTATTTTTTAGAAAATGGTGCAAATGTAGAAGCAAGTGATGCTGAAGGAAGGACAGCACTCCATGTTTCCTGCTGGCAGGGTCATGTAGAGATGGTACAGATGCTGATAACATATCACGCTGATGTGAATGCAGCAGACAATGAGAAACGATCAGCTTTGCAGTCTGCGGCATGGCAGGGCCAGGTCAAAGTAGTTCAGCTTTTGATTGAGCATGGGGCACTAGTTGACCATACATGTAATCAAGGTGCTACTGCACTCTGTATTGCAGCCCAAGAGGGGCACATTGATGTTGTGCAGATATTACTGGAGCACAGTGCTGATCCAAACCATGCGGATCAATTTGGACGCACAGCTATGCGTGTTGCTGCAAAAAATGGCCACACACAGATAATCAAATTACTGGAAAAATATGGTGCTTCAACTCTAAATGGCTGCACTCCATCTCCAGTACATACAATGGAGCAAAAGCCTTTGCAATCAGTATCCTCAAAAATGCAATCCTTAACTATAAAATCAAATAGTTCAGGAAGCACTGGTGGGGGTGATATGCAACCTCCTTTGCGTAGCTTGTCTAATGGGCCATCTCATGCCTTTAGCTCACCTTCTGAATCCCCTGATTCCACAGTTGATAGGCAGAAATCCTCCTTATCCAACAATTCCTTGAAAAGCTCAAAGAACTCATCACTTCGCACAACTTCTTCTACAGCAACTGCCCAGACAGTACCTATTGATAGTTTCCACAGTATGTCTTTTACAGAGCAAATACAACAGCATTCATTGCCCCGTAGTAGAAGTAGACAGTCCATTGTTTCTCCTTCTTCTACAACTCATTCCTTAAGTCAGAATCACAGTTCACCAAACAGTGAGTTTGAATGGAGCCAAGTGAAACCCAGCCTGAAGTCAACAAAAGCAAACAAAACAGGAAAAACTGAGAATGTCAGCAAATCTGGGTCTGCTGGCAAAAAACCAAAACAGAATGTCTCCTCTCAACCCAAAGTTCTAGAATATGAAATGACTCAGTTTGATAAACGGATACCTGTTGCCAAATGTGGGGCAAACTTGCCCCCTAAATCGATGGCTCCTGACACTCACTGTAAAATTGTTGTTCCCCCAGCCCAGCAAGAAGTTTGCCGATCCCAACAGCAGTTTTTGATCCACCAACAAAGTGGGGAACAGAAAAAGAGAAATGGAATAATGACAAATCCAAACTACCATCTTCAGAGCAATCAGGTTTTTCTTGGTAGAGTTTCTGTCCCACGAACTGTACAAGAACGAGGGCATCAGGAGGTTTTGGAAGGCTATCCTTCTGCAGAGACAGAGTTAAGCCTTAAACAAGCCTTAAAACTTCAAATTGAGGGAAATGACCCAAGCTTTAATTATAAGAAGGAAACGCCATTGTAAAGAGGTGAGCTAATCTCAGCACTATCTGGTAAAGCTGGTATGTAGTTGTTGCTGCATATCGAAGGTTGTGCACTCATACCTTGGAAATACTGTAGTTCTGGATTCCCTAAATTGATGGAGTGATTGACCAGATTGTAGAATGAAGGGGACCTTCAAAGTCATCTAGTCCAGTCCCCCCCCCCCCCCCCCCCCCCCGTGGCCTGCAATATCCCTTCCAAATATGTGGTTTTGCATTTGATCATATGCTGCTGGTGCCATTCTTGATGTGGAATTATCAATGCAGGTTGTGTCCCATATGCAGAAGGCTTGGGATTAGAGATGTTTAAATTTTGGATTTTCCTATATGTATATAATGAGATATCTTGGAGATAGGACCCAGGTCTAAACACAAAATTTATTTATGTTTCATACAACTTATACACATTGTCTAAGCCAATTTTCACAATATTTTTAATAATTTTATGTTTGAAACAAAGCTTGTGTGCACTGAATCAACAGAAAATAAATGGGGCACTTTGTTAGCCACCCCATGGATGATTTTGGATTTTTAAGTATTTTTAATTTAATGCAAAAAAAAATTATTGGCATGTGTTTTAGCAACTGTAAATTACAATCTTTTTAAAAGAAACATACATGAACTATTCTGATTCTGAAGGCCCAGAAGCTTCTATAAAACAGATTTTCAGTAACCGTGTAAAAGCTGTATTATATATATTGTTTTTAAGAATAACCTGCATTTAATGAAAGTATTTATTTGTATTTCATGCAATACTAAAAAAATGTTAACAACAATATAAACATGATATTGGAAGCCTTCAGTCCTCTCCATCTCATGTGGTTTCCTTGTCAAGATTTCTTCAGAGAGGGTTTATCATTTTCTTCTTCTGAGTCTGAGAGAGAATGACTTGTCCAAGTTCATCAAATGGGGTTCTGTGGCAAAGTAGGCATTCAGACCACAATATCCCAGTCCTAGTCTAGTATTCATACCACTGTACTATGTCGGCTTCGTTTGAAAATAGATAGCTAGCTACAATGGTTACATATTAGGCTTCCACGTGAATCAACAAAATCAACTATGTATCATCAAAGACTTTAATAGCCATCCTTAAAAACTTAGAGAACTGCAAGTTACAATGATTATTTTAGTGAACTGCAATGGATTGATTTGGATGATGATTTGAACCGGTGAACTGTTTTAATGTATATTTATAACTTTTTTAAATTTTGCTAATTTTATTTTATGCTGTGTTATTATATTGTATCAGCATTTAATGGTGCCTGTTGGTAGCCGTCCTGAGTCCCTCTTTGGAGGTTGGGAATGACAGGATAGAAATATTCCTAATAAATAAATAAATAGTGACGAGAAAACTCTTAAAACTCATAAATGCTTTCATAAATGAAGGCTTTTCTGGTTATTTTCAGGTTTTCTGGGGGCAAAATACATATTATGCATCAGGAGTTAAAATAGGAATTCAGTGCCATCCCCTGCTCCAAAAAATAACATCTGGACATAGTTTTTGCCTTTCAAGCTTATGTCTTGAAGTGTTTTCAGGTCCTTCTAAAAGCAGATACGAAGAAAAGCACAACTTGATGACACTAATATGACAAAAATATTTGATAATACTGTGTAATGAAACAGAGAGGAAAAGCTTCACATGAAAATGCTGTTTGTCAGCCACCCCATTTCCTAGTATATTATTTAGTTCTTTATATATATTATCAAATTCCCAAGTCAGTTTTTTAGTTGGGGAGGAGACAAAGCTGAATGTTAAGTAACAAGATTTTTAGTGTATTACTATTGCCTAATCAAATATATTATTACAAACACCTGCTTATTCTTTGATTTGAGATATTGCATTGCAATGTACCCTTCTAAATTTCTTTTGTTTCCATTTTTTTAAGGCAGCTCACAGCACCATGAATAAAAAAGAAGAGCTTCTGCTTAGAATGAATTGTCAGCTGGGCTGGGATAAAAGCATGTCTCGCTTCTGGAACCACATTGAAAATTACGAATGTTATCACTGCAGTACAGTTATCTTGATTACTGTAATGTGCCTAAAAGTGTTAAGCCTGCCTTCTTAATTTAACCTAACATATTTTTTTTATTTTCTGTACTTTATACTTCATACACAGAATAAGCACTTTCTCTCTTCCTTAGCAGCAGAGCAAGAGAATGCTGTACTTTCCTCACACAGCTGAAAAATTGTAAGAGCTAGAAATTTGAGTTTCCTTTTCAGGAAGGCTCAGTTAGTGTAAATGTGCCACAGTGGATTTTGTATCAAAAGGCATTGCCTTCTGTATTTATTTTATGTTAATGCGTCGAAAGAAACTTCATACAGCCAAAAAGACAAGGAGTGTCCTGTGCCACCTTGAAGACTACAGCAGCCCCTTCCACAGTGGCCCTCTGACTTCTCAATGCCCTTGAATAGGCCTTTGTATGGCCAATTTAAATGCAGACTTTCTGTCTTTGTTGCTGTCACATTCATGTGTTCAAATCCATGGGAGGCTTCAACATACCCCCAAAAAGTGTGTTGAAAAAAAGTGTGAATTTGCACATTCCACAAAAGTCATTTACATCTGTTGTGATGGCTTCAAAATCACTTCTGCAGCCCCAGTCGTCATCTCCTGGATCACTGCAGATGTGGATGAGTTAATTCATACAGAATATTCTTCATACAGCTGTGATAACAATCAGTCTAATGATGTGAACTGGTTCTAAGGCAACTCTGTTCTTCTGTGCCTCTTAAACAACATTTGCATATCTGCAATGTATTTCTGTATAGCTGAAATGTGTCTCACAAGAAAGGATAACAGTATTGGCTACACTGTAGTACGTGCATTCATTCTGGTCAGTAGTGGAGAAACACTGTTGTGCAGCTTATCAAAAATAGTTCATGTTGTCGAGTTGAAAAATCAGTTTTTGAAGGAACAATTCTTGCATCTCCAGATCATTTTTCATGTCGCCAGGAGGTATCATTGTATTCAAGTTGCTACTTTTTCCTCCTAAAATCTGTCAGAGGCAAACAGTACAGTCAGCAGTAGCTCAAGTACTAGCTTCTAAAATTTCCCAGTCAACCTTTTTTTTTCTTTAAGGCTTACCTATAGAAAACTACCATAACTTGGTAGTAGAACACACATTTTACATAAAAGCCCATGCTCTATTATTTTTATCTTTAGTCAAAAGGATCTCTACTAACAGGCAGAACACAATTTCTGCAATGGCTGTAGTAACCGGACATAAGACCTTACTTTGTATATGACAGCTTCATATGTTGATATACAAATTCATATCAATAAGAAGGGAGCATCCATATAATAGCTCTCTCCTTGTAGCAGCTGTTCCCTTTTGCTATGTTCTTCAAACACTGTTATATCTCCTTTCAGATGATTAGTTTACCACCTGCTAATGTTATCTTTGTACTGTATTACAGGTCATTTATAAACTCTGGGCTACTTGTAGTCTCAACAGTTAGTCAAATATCACAGTCCAAAACAGTCCATCCCTCTCTCTACATTTTCCTGAATGGCGGAGATTGGACTGGGTTGAATGGCCATTGTGGTCTCTTCCAGTTCAGTGATTTTACAATTCTATATCTGGCATTCAACAGCTGCAAATAGGGGAGAACATTGTCCCAGGGTGCTTTTCAGCAGCACCAGTTATCTAAGATAAAGGATTCCCCTGACATTAAGTCTAGTTATGCTAGACTCTGGGGGGTGGTGCTAATCTCCATTTTAAAGCTGAAGAGCCATCACTGTCTGTAGACACCTCCAAGGTCATGTGGCCAGCATGACTGCATGGAGCTTCATTATATATCAATGCAAAAATGCTGTCCTGAAAATTCTGTACTGTCCCATGTGGCCAAGAAATAAAAAATTAAATTCTTAGGGATAAGGACTCCTTGCTGCAGAATTTCAGCAAGATAATAGAGGCACATAGTGAATTGCAAGAGTTTACTATAAATATATTTAAATTGTCTTCTTGGGACTGTTGTCATCACTTTGATAACTGACAAATGATAGGATGAACAGCAGGAGCCATAAAACATGGCCCTGCTTCAACTTTAAATATGATCTCTGTGTTCACCCCTCATATCAATGAGTATTCCCGCTTCCTATTCTGAACTGAATTATATCATGGGCTTCTTACAAATACACCCTTGGGGTAAGAATATTAAAAAGATGTCCAAACATTGCCGTCAACTGTTTCTCAACCTCCCAAATACTGGGTGTTTGCAATACTGCACAAAAAGGTTTTCTATCAAATTAGAGGTGTGTTTTAATATGTAGAAAGACACCTCTAAAGAGGCAGCATTCTCCCTACATCTTGGCTATTGCTGAGATTATATTTATTTAATTGTTTTGTTTTATTGATATATGTACCTTGTAACTCGATGTTTTTGGCCATTTTTGCAAGGAGGTTGTTGTGCATTGCAGCAGCTTTTGTAAGCTTCAGCAGAAGACTACTAACATTTGAACAAGGCGGTAGAGACCGAAATCAGCTAAAAGGAAGCCAGTGACAACAGTTGTACTTTTCAGAGAATTGAAATGGAAGTTCCTACATATCTTTGGAATTGTTTGAAAGACGGGAGGCATTTCTTTGTGAAGAGGCATCCATTTGACGAGTGTGACATTCTTCTGCTTTGATTTACTATACTGTTTTAATATATTGACTTGAATGGCCTCACTCAAAGAAAGGTAGTATTTAATGTATTGAAATCTTGGCAGTTCCAAAAAGTAGGTGGCTTTGAAACTTTGAATTGTTGGTTGTAATTCAGTTTTGTTAAACTCTTTAACTTGACAGAGTTGATCAATCATGATTTAGCATAGTCCAAAAACCCCTCTTTAATCCCTCTTCCACAAATTCTCCATTTCTGTTTATATTTCATTGTCCCACATGTTGTCTAAAAGTCATCACTGGATAACATAGGGAAGTGCTGTAACCCATGACTGGGAGATTTGGGAAAGTACTGGTGAACTACACACCTGCTAAGGAAGCCACCCTTAAAGAGAAATAAATAGTAAATTGATGAACATCAACTATGTTAAGGCAGAGCAGTGTTCCTTAGCCCTTGTCGTGATTGGTAATGGAAAATGGTTTTGCTTTTTCTCAAAGCATAATTTTCTCTTGTCAGCTATGCTGCTATGCAAATGTCTGTTTATGCTCGACATCCTCCATTGAAACTCTTCAAATAACATGGTGCACGGATAAGACTTTTTTCCTGGACTGGGTTGTAAATAGCCTATTATGTACATTGAATTTCACATTGTAAATTTTTTATTTTATTTCTTGTATTATATTAAGCAAAATTCCTTATGTATATGAAAGTGCATAATAAATATATTTGCTTTTCAGCAGACATTTGCATTCCACAATTCTTTACATACCAGTCTGCCCCTACTTTTTCCTGCTGCACAAAATTCATTTATGAAAATAACATGAAAACAACAGTTCTGTGCAGAAAATCCTACTTGCTTTCAAAATAAGAAGTACATCTTAGTTTTGCACAGTTCCAAAATTAAATATTCCCGTCATTTTACGCTTCATATCAGTGGAGCCCCTGGTGGCACAATGGGTGAAACCGCTGAGTTGCTGAACTTGCTGACTAAACAATTGGTACCACTTCTGTGGGAAGGTAATGGCACTCCATGCAGTCATGCTTGCCACATGACCGTGGAGGAGTCTACAAACAATGCCGGCTCTTTGACTTAGAAACGGAGATGAGCACTGCCCCCCCCCCCGAATCCCACATGACTGAACTTACTATCAGGAGAAACCTTTGTTGCGCTTCAAGCGGAATTCAGTCTAGTCCAACAAAGGCACAATAACTTTGCACAGCTGCAAAAGGAAAAAACAGAAAAAACTTTTTTTCATCAGAGTCAAACATAAATTTGCAGTGTTACATCAAAAACAATTCTTATGGTGTAACAAACTTACATAGTTCTTGTGAACATTGCAAGACCCAAAAATCATGGCATCTTCTTTTTCTTCCAAAGGGGAGAGAACTAAAAGCGAAAGCAAAACTAAAAACAGGAGCAAAAGCTAACACACACAGAGAGCTACACCTCACCGGGTGTAGTCCAAGCTTAATTGCTTAGCTTCTAACCTAGATTAGCTCCCGCATGTTATGATCAGCAGCATAGATTTTTCTTTAACACACACAGCCTGAGTGTTAGTCTTCAGTATACGCTAACAACCTTTACCTTTTATCAATGTTTCCCCCCCAAAAAAAAATCCAACATTTTTTGAATATTTTTCAAATAATCTTTCCATTCCTATGGATAAATCCAACTGCTTATTTGACTTGATGTTTCTGTAAAATTGTATCCAGTACTTTTAGTGAGACTGATATTCTTGTTATATGAAGGAATATTTATTGATTGATTGATTTTATCCTGTTTTCTCTCAAGAAGACTCAAACCAGCTAACAATTCAATTGCAAAATGTAATGAATTAAAACTTTATATAAACATTAAAACAGAATTAAATATGGGACTTCTTAAGATATGTAATTTATTACTTATTTACTTCATTTCTACCCCACCTTTCTCAATACCAGAGGGGACTTACAAATGCGGCAAAAATTTAATGCCGCACAAATAAACAATAAAACACATCTCATCAAAATATAAAACAACCTAAACATATAAACAATTTAAATACATATCAATCAATCATACAAATTAAAAATCATCTGAAATTTTGAGTCAGTAATTAAAACCAATAAAATCCCTGCAAGCAGGAAAAAGATCCTGGTTGCTAGAATAAATAAGCAATAGAATATCTTTTGTCAACGCATGTTAAATATATAGTTTAATGCTCAATTTGGGGACTGTACTGGGATTAGTTCACAAAGTAGATTGTGCAAAGATTTCTAAGAAATGTTTGCACAATCTATGAAAACAGTATTGAAAGTTTGGCAAGGATGCAAATTCTAACCCTTCAATGCTGGAGAAAATACCACTGCCAGGAATAAGATACCCACTAGAAAATCCAACTCTTGTGACAAAAGTCATGAAAGCTGACCGCATTACAATGATATCAGATCTCAAGTCCATTGACTTTGTTCATAAGAGGAAATAATAAGCATATGGATATGAATCTCAGGCTATGATACAGATTTTTCTGGGATTTTCGTGGTTTTGTTTTTGTTTTTGTTTTTCATTACAGGACAAGGGACTTTTGACTGTTCGGCCCTACTCTTCAGTACAAGCTGTTGCCTAGGAACCCCCAGCAAGGAAAAAAAATGGTATTATAATATTCTGAGTGAGATCTGCTACTTAGTCCCTTCTTTTATCTTGAGAATCTGCCTAGTATGAAACCAGGGAAGAATAATAACAGGAAATCCTACCTAAATAATCTCAGTTTATTGAAGATTTTGTAAAAAATTTGTTCCTGGCCCATTTGCCATTCTGAGGATCTTTTGCAAGCCAAGTGCTGCCTAAATAATCTCAGTTTA